GGTCCCGTTCCTTCTACTTCTCAGGTTCTAGTCGATTTTTTTACTACATTTTTCTAATTAATTCTATTCAGGTAATAAAATATTACAAATTTGCTACCGGCCCTAAGATCCGTCGTCTTGTTTCCTTAAGAAAGCATTTCATAATTTTTGTTATCATTTATTTTATTCTAAATAATGTTTATTTGAATAGCAACCTGTAGAAATAAATTATAAACTAAGGTGATGCAGCGCTAAGTTCTTGGACGTAATTAGTACGATAGTATTTATATTGACTTCTCGACTTATGAGGCCCTGATCTTCTGATAGTTGCATTAGCCTTTTCCATATTTAAGTTGTGTACATGCTTTGGACTTTACCTTTATTCATTTTCACATCGTATGCTCTTTTTTGCCAGCAGCAGCAACACCAACAACAGCAACAATACTATGCCAGCCTAGTGGCATCAGCGCTTGGAAGTTGGGCAGCACAGACCCAGTCTTCTGGAGGCGTTGTAAATCCGTCTGCCTCAGGTGGAGCAGCGTCTACCACTACATCAACACTTACTGCTCAATCCGCAGCGTCGGTTGGAGGCCATCATAGGGCAGATAAAGGTTGGAATAGATATCTTTGATACCATCTCTATTCCCCTCTTCGTTTAGAAGGCTTATTAAAAGGGCCCATTTGTGATCATTGATCGTTTAGTTAACTGCTGGCCTTCTATTGTTCTTTGTAATTTTAAGTTAATCTGATTTTAAAGACTTTGGTTAGTGAGCTATGATCCTTTCTCAAATTCATTAACCGCCAAAGTCAGGCGAGTCTATTTCTTATTTTAATTTTTAATAATCTGAGCCCCAGACTTCAGGCACAATGTGACCCATAAAACTTGCAAATTAAATGGATGCTACATTTGTTTTACATATGATAGAGTATTCTGTTTTTATATTTTTAGCATGATTTCGGTATCAGACTATGATCAGTAGGATCCTCTTAATTTTCTAATCATTTGTTAATATTTGTTTTATTATTATCTTTGCTTATTGAATTTTCGTCCTGTTAGAAGATATGAATTAGTTTTTGAAGGACTTTAAACGTTCATCTAAGATATTCATTTGCATGGGACCTTTCCTTCTTTTGATTATGACACTTCCGTTATCCATTGCAGGCACTCGAAAGTCTTACAACTCCTCTGAGGCATTTCGCGCCAATTCCTCCTCTTCTGCCAACTACTCTCCTTCATCTTCCTCATCATCTGGTTCCTCTTTGCTCTCTACGAAATCCGGATCAGCAAGTTCAATATGCGATACTGACACCAACAACGCAACGGCTGCTGCCATGCAGCAGGCCGCAATGCTCGCTGCCTATCACCAAGCTTCACAAATGGCAGCCGCTGCTGCCTACATAAACAACCCGATGGCTGCTGCTCTCTACTATCAAATGATGATGTCCTCTGCTCCCAATACAGCAGCCTTCGCTTCATTTGCGCAACTACAACAGCAACAACAGCAGCAGCAACAACAACAACAACAGCAGCAGCAATCCCAGTCCCACATACAACAGTCGCTTCCTCAAAGCCACCATCACCAGCAACAGCTAGCAGCCATATATGCAAACTACATCTCTTCGCTAAATCGCCAACAACAACAGTATCAGCAACATTATCAGCAACAGCAACAACAACAACAACAAGCTGCTATTCTAGCTGCTCTTAGCGCTGGTGGCGCTGGGACTTCTGGGGACCTCACTACTTTGCTGGCCAACATGTTCTCATCTAGTTCCAACTCCGATCCTCCTGGAGAATCAGTAATGCCACCACCATCAGGTCCACCTCCTCAACGAGATGCATACAGGCCCACCGGTCGTGGCCGAGGCCGTGGGAGGGGTAGAGGCGCTGGACATGGTGTAGAGAGTCCCAACGTTTCTATATCTAGCAATACCACTGGCCTTCAGGATGCACCTAGACGTGGCCGGGGTGGAGCTACTCTCACCGGATTTCATGGAAGTTCTGGACCTCGATCTCGTGCCTCAGCCAATCATGGTACCTCTTCTGGCTCCAATACTGGGTCTGGGTGTTCTTCCTCCGCCACGACCTCAGCGTCAAGTGCCCTGGATCTTTCGAAATAGCGGTTATATATATATATATATATATATTGTCACCGATATGTGAAAAAATTAGTCTGCGTTTTTAAATAAAAGGCAGTGGGGTATTATTATTAGCCCTTGGATATTAAACTTTAGATGGGTATCTTTTCTCACCTCGTGATGCATTTTTCAGCCTTAGGCTCTCAAAGCTGAACATCCCCTTCCACTTTCTCCTGTCCCTCCTGTGTCTAACTCCTCCCTTCCATATTTTTATTGATGCATAACTAAAACGTTTCAGCCGCACTGCATTCAATTTTGTTTTTCTTCCTCTTTATATATGCTTCCAATGCTTTGTCGACGACATACAAGATGTAGTAAATATTTTGTTTTTTATTTGTTTTTATTGAGGAAATGAATGCAAAAACACCACCATCTGCCTCAAAAACTCTTGTGAATAGCTGACCACTTCACACATCCTTACAACATTTTAAGGAACCAATTCAATATACAAACCAACTGCCCGTCATGTATACAGTTACACAAATTTTGCGGGCTTACGCGCACAATCATGTCGACTTACTTATCCTGATTCCAGCGTTCAGAGTCTAATGTCTAGACACGTTTTATATTCGTCTGATTAATTAATTTATTGCTTGTTCGATAGGGCTTTTATGCCTATCACCTCTTGACTTGACCGGTTACCTTGGTCTAACCTCGGTTTCTTATGAACGCAATTTGTACTTTTTGGTTATATGTTGTATGATACACTGTACTGATCCATGAACGTTTATTCTCTGCTGCATTTCACGCGCCATTACCTTAAGGTCTGTATTTTAGAAGTATTATAATGGCGTTTTTCTTACTCTTATCCGATTTTATACGAACTAATTTGTTCTTTCCTATTTTCTTTTTTTGGCCGCTTTCGTTCCAGCCATTTGACCTCGACCGATTCTGCTAAAATGAGCGTAGTCGCGAGGCCGCATTTACATTTCATATGTCACCTCTCTTACCTAAGCATCTATTTATCACAATGGTCTTGAAATTATTGTTGCTACTACTATTGTTACCATTATTCTCTTTCTATATCCTGCTTGTTATAGCTGTCTACGACTAAGGGACTAATTTGATATTTTTAATCGATTTGCTTCGATTCAGAGGATGTTAACGACTTTGATGCCTTCGAGTGTATCTTCTTCAGTACAGGTTTTCCGCATGGTTTCACCATTACCTCGCATTGGCCTAATTCTGTGTACAAAATCAAATTATAGGTTTCTCTATATGTATATATAAATATATTTATATACATATATTATATTAAAATTTGTAAAATAACTGTCTTTTTGAGCTATTTAATTACTTCAAATGAGTGCTGAGAGGCTTTTATATTTCGTTTTTTAGAAGCCAGTTAAAATAGTTTAGAGTTCAGGCTCCGTAACCTAGTTTACCTCGATACTTGCTTTTAGTATTTCATTTCTAACTAACTTTAGGCTAAAAATATCCATTACAAAGTCAGTATTCTTTTTAAGCTTGAATACATTTTTTAATAGTCTCATCCCTAACTTATAGACTTGGGTCAAAATAATTAAAATAGTAACAGATTTATCAAATGCTGTCAAACAATCTCCAGTGAGAATCTTTGATATGCTCGCATTCGGTGTACGTATCATGTGCAGAGTTTCGATTATGTGGGGATTTGTTCTACAAGCTTGCCTTTCAAAGCTTCTAAGTTAGCTGTCTTGCGAAATCTATCATGTCCTTACTTCTCTTGGGCTATGTACTTCATCTTCCATGTTCTTTGTAGCCATCTATGTCATTAGTTTGGTATTAGCTTAATCATATTTGGTGCTTCCAGCTTGTCCTTAAAAAAATTCCATTATCTTTTCCTTAATCCTACTTTTCACACTCGGTTTTATCCATATTATTCTGAATCGTATGTTTATTTGTATATAGCTGCTAACCTTTATTTTTTTGCTCTCGTGATTCTAATCCTTTCTGCCCTCAGATACTTCAAGCCCCATGTCAAGACATTTTTTGTCTTAGAGAAATGAACAGAAACCTATCGTTCTGTTTATTTCTTTGTCCTTTTTGATATTGCTAATTTGCTGTGAATCTCGGCCTACTCATCCTATGGTAGCCCTAGTTTGCGCGATTTCTAGGATCCGTCTGCTATCTCCCCGGTTCACTCGACCGCCACTCCATCGCTGCCACTCGAGACATTACTTCCCACACTCTGCGTCTGAGTGACTAATTCGAGGCTAAAGCCTCTGAGTAAGTCTGATGGACCACATCTCTGGCAAAACCTTCTGTCAGCCAACTAGCGCCAGTCTTTTTTGTCACCGTTATACTTCTGCTCACAGTTGCCCCATTTGATGCAATAAACTCCTGAGCATTCCAGTTTGCCAGTCTTCTTTTCTTGTGTCGGCAGACTGGTGAATAGTGTTGTCTTATCCTGTGTTGCCACCTTGATATTCCATTCTATTAGTGACGGTCGCAATTGAAGGCTCAGTTCACAGCAGGACAGACATACCCACTTTTGGTTGTCCTGATTTCTGATCGGATTTTCATCAAATCTGAGATAGAATCTGCTCTTTATAACCTCCACATTTTTTTCTATCAATTCTCTGGGCTACGCGTTATTAAGGCAAATCCGTGTCAGTTTGTCCAACTCCTCGTTCCAGAACTCATTGTCCGTTAGTCGTAAGCTTCTGATGATCAAACTCCACAGTATTCCGATCTTCAGTCTAGTTATGATGGGGCTGAAAATCAAGGATTATTCCTGCATATGAATTCTTTCTATATAGTCTCCTCATGAGTGTCCCTTTGGAGCGCATGACTTCAATATCCAGAAAGGGTAGTCGTTCATCTTCCTTCACCTCCATTGTGAATTTAATTCGTTGGTTAATAAAATTGAGGAATTTATTTAGATTTTCCTTGCCATGTGACCAAAGTGCAAAGTAGTCATCCAAATATCGCATAAGCACTCTTGTTTGCAATGGTGATTTCACGAATTCCATTTCCAACTTGTCCATGTAAACATTTGCCACAAGACGTGAGAGTTGAGATCCCATCGGTAGTCCATCGGCTCGTAGATACTGTCGTTACTGTCAGGTTGATTAGTCAGGTTAACGACTCCTTCCGTATCCGTTCTGCCTCCAGGATGTCCTCTTCTAGCTCCAATATCTCCAGCACTGCGTTTACCGCATTCTCACCTGATATGTTTGTATACATGGATTGCACATCGAAATTCACCAACAGTTCCGTCCCAACCAACGCAATGTTCTGGATTCTTTGAGAATATTCATTTGGATTCTTGACGGTATTCGAGAGTCTATCATTTACTTTCTTGACCTTCAAGCTAATGAATTTCGCTAGTTTGTTTATTGCTCCGCGCTTATTGTTGACTATTAATCTTAACGGATTTCCTTTCTTGTGTATCTTCGGTAGTCCGTAGGCTGTCGGTGGCCTTGCGTCATTTTTGATTAAAGATTTCATCATCCATCTGTCAATTTCCCCATTAATCTGCATTTCCCTTATCATATTCTTAAGTGTCCCGTTGATCTTCATGTTTGGATCCTTCCTTAGTATTTGATAAGTGTTCCGGTCTCCTAGGATACTTTCCATTTTCTCCGTGTACTGTTTCCTGTCCACTACAACCTTCGCTCCTCCCTTATCCGACTGAAGAACTATTTGAGCATTCTTTTGTAATTTTTTTCCGTATACCAGTCAACCTGCTTCTGTGTATCGGTTCTTGATGTGCCACGATCCATGGGATTATTTCCAGTTCCATATCCCGCCTTGTCTCTCCTAGATATTTATCCGTTATATTGACAACTTCCAGCATAATATCACTAAGACTGTTTCCTTCGTTGCTTATGGAAAAATGTTACTCCCCTTTAGAATAAAGAGGGATTGAGGATAATCTTACTACCTTAGTCCTATCGTCGTCTGTAGCAGTTGATACCTTCAATACAGAAGCATCAAAATTTTCCCGGGTTGGCTTGATCTTGCGTTGTCTTATTGTTTCATAGCCAAGCAATTTTTTGTCATGCCGCTTATTTAACAGATCCAGAACCATCTGTGACTTCTGGACGGTCATGCTCTGGAATCTTTGAAAATCATCCCAAGTGAGGGCCCTATTTAGATTCTTCCTCAATCTAAACTTAAGATCTATGAACTTAAATAGCTTACGTCTCTCAGTCTCGTAACTTTCCTCTAATTTCTGGATGGAGGCGTAATAAGGTATTTCATTAACTGTGTCCGAATGACACTTCCTCATTAGAATGCAGCATCGGGGAACGATACCATAATGTTTGCAACAATCCAAAAAGGTCAGATGGCAGGATTGACTAC